TTGGATAAATTAATTAATTGGATTTGTTATTTATATTTTCGAATTAATTAATTGGATTAATTAATTCACGGACCGGGTTTAATTAATTGGATTAATTAATTATTGGGCCGGACAGGGCCGAGCCTATTTGGGTTTATATAAATACATAACTAGGGTTTGAGGTCCATTAAGGTTTTCATTATTCTTGCTAGCACAAGAGAAAACCCTAGAGGCTGCAATCAAATTCTCTGTGTGGATCACCGTTGGAGGCTGGACAATTGGACAGCTGTGGTGGCGAATTAAAGTTGTGGAACAAAAGAAAAGCAAAAGGATTGCAGATCTGGAAAAGGTACAATCCTATCACAATTCCTAACCAAACACAATGAGATCTATTGGATGGGAATCGAAATATATTTTAAATTCCGCTGTGCATGTATAAGTAGATTCCCAACAATATGTATGTATCCTACAAAATAAAGTCACACATTAGATATCATTAATATAATAATTTAGCAGTCATGTGTCATACTAATTTATAATGCAATGTGTTGTGAAACATGATGTTCTATGTGAATTCTCCAAGTGTGTGGGGGTGCATGTTGAGGGGAAAAGTAACCCCAAACTTATTTTGCTGGTATCTCAAAACAACTAGGAGAATTGGAAGTGTTTTGCTTGAGACTTTTTATCAAACACATTGAGGGCAATATAGAATGCCCAACTATGTAACAAACCATGTGTGGTAACATATGATTTCCATCAAATCTCAACTTATTATCCAAGAATTCATGCCCCTACTGTTGGAATGCGGAAGCAGAATTATTCAAAAATAAAAAAAAATTTAATTCAATAAACAAGATCATCTAAATATTCACATGTATGTTATATCAAAATAAAGAATTCGAATTTTTACCTAAACTCAATGATTGATTCTTGAAATAATTCTGAACTGCGAACTTCCAACTTTTTGGATCATGAACTTTCATCTTTTTAATTCGAAGAACTTGATACTTCAAACATTCTGGGTTTCTATGATATTCTCCAAAGTCAATACTACATCGATGGATAGACACTTTCTTTTAATTAAATCAAGAAATCAATTCTTAAATTGGACAATTGAAAAAATCAAGAAAAATAATTTTTTCTCTCTCCAAAATTTGAACACCATGAAATTATGTATTATGAATGTTATATAATTTCATAGGATGTCTAGGATCCATCTAATATCTATTTATAAAGATAGAAGAGTTATAATCCTTATACAATAATAATTCCACATTCAAATATGAGTTCTAATTAAAATCCAAGTAGGATTTTTTTATTCAAGTCCAAATCCAATTAATTTACATTTAATTACGTGTGTAGTCTTAGAACTTCAATTACAATTACAATTATAATTAAGTTTACAACTAAGTACAAAACTTTATTGTAATTACAATTAAGCCCAAAGCTATTATAATTACAATAATTAAGTTTCACTACTTCATGAAGTTACCAAGGGACCTGATTGGACATATGTTATTCAAGCTCCAAATCTAGTCATTAGTCTTTGCTTTTTTTTTTTTCACTAAAGGCAAAATATTGAACTCTGAGAATATATAAGATTGCAGAAGCCAATAAATTTATAATACTTTTCTCTAACCTGCTGTATATATATTTTATCCCCGTCCGAGATCCGATAATTAGGTACGAGCATAAATGATTGTTTGGCTCCTCTAATTATTCTCACTAAATTAAATTTCATTTTCTTTAATGGTCCTGTGAACTAATTATAGATGTTGAAGTTTAGCCATAATTAAACACTGAGTTCAGATTTTAACCATCTAATAGAAAATAATTAAGTAATAACTCTACCTGTTTTTGAGGGTGACGATTTCTGACACAAATTCTTGTTGTCTACTTCACTCATTTTCAAATTCCCAACTCATTGAAATATTTGACCAATCAAATTAATTTTGCCGATTGATGAATTAAAGAACCATTAAAATCACGAAAATATATACATAATCCCTTTAGATGAAATATACAGCGGTCTAACGAAATTTAATTCTCCACATGATCGTGATATAGAATTAAATTTGACATGCGGTCCATTTAATACATTCCAAGTGTATTAGTATCACCTTTAACTATTTCTATGATAAGGACAAATCACAAGTTTGAATAGTGAATTGGTCAATACTATAACCTTACATTACAAGGTGTCAACCCTTATACATTGGTTGTGAACAAATTATTTATGATCAAAATATAAGTTGTGTTACACTGTTTTTTTTAATATAATTACCCTACTTATATTATCTCAAATGATCATAGACACTTTAGTTTGCATGCTCAATAATAAATAAATCCAATAAACAAATAAAATCAAAATTTATTTATTATAAATGATTATTTTATTATAGCAAAATATATTATATGAACTCCCATGAGAATAAAAAGAAAAATCTTAAAGATTTTATTTGTTTACAAAAGTTAGGTATTTGATTTCTTGCCTTCTTTGAGTCCAAAATTGAATTTTAGAGAGGAAAGAAGATACAATCTTAGTTTGAATCCAATAATGCACTTGATTAGAGTTTGAAATTTGAAAGAAAGAAATTGGGGTAAAGGTTTGGAAAATAGTTGAAAAACAGTTTGGAGACGGATTTTGAGATTTCCATCGTAGTGCATGCGACCTCCTAGTCCACCACTCGAGAAGGTCACGTTTTCCTAATGATTTGTTAAAGTGTATAGAGAAAGGCTACATGAACATGACCGGAGCACAAGTCTATTGAAAATGTCATCCATGCAAAAAAACGAGGTCAGCAAAAAGGTGTTATAATGAATTTTTGTAACGTAAAGATGAATTAGCTAATAGACTACAATTTCAATCCTTATCAAGTATGTGGGTGTGTATATATAATAGCTTTCTCCAATTAAAGACTAATTTTGATAACCAACTAAGATTAATTTTATTTTAATCTCTTCTTGTTTATATTCTTAATTAAACCAAACCAATCAATTTTCGTTAACATCCTGGCCAAAATTACGATTCAACCTAGCAAGTTTCAATTAATTAGAATCCTAGATTAAATTTCTATCCTAATTAAAGAAGTGAAGGTTCAAACTCCATAATTAAACTATTTATGTTTTCCTAAAACTGTTATTGGTCAAAAATCAGTTTAAGATAAGAATGTTAATTATTCATAATTTCATTTTCGTCTTGTTTCTTTTCTTTTGTCAATCCTAATTTAGTTCGAGCTTATCCAAAATATCATTTCTCAAACCCAATATACATGATTAATTACAAGTTATCAAATGATTACAATATTGCTGTAGTAATTTGTTCTAAATTGAAAACTAATATTATTACCTAAGTAATTTTCTTAATTAGTTCTAACTCAAGTTTGACTTATCAAAATTAATTTTCTCTCGAGTCTGTAATTCACAATTATTACCAGCTTCAAAATGAGCCTAATGTTTATAGGGTAATTCTAACGCCTTCAATAGTTAATTATTGGCCTAATTAAATAAAAATGTAAATTTTAATACTTATTTTCACTTCAGTCCATCAACTATGAAAAATATCCATATAAGATCCAATTAAATATTGAACATAACAAATTGACTTGTATAAAGACTTGAATAGACATAACATTCTTATCAATTGACAATTAAATAGTATGCGATAAGCTCGTAAAATTTCTGGATTCTACACACACAGACTTGTTAATATGGAAAGAAGCTCCAATCGGATAGGAACGAATATTGATATGGCTCATTGTGTGGGAAGAAGTTATTGAAGGAATACTGAGTGTAGGAATCCTGAATTAAATTAATATCAATCATTTCCCTAAAGGTTGAGCTTCACAAAAAAATTATTAGCAGTAGCTGTCTTTGTTTAAGGATGTGAGTGATTCTGTTTGTCATTTAGGTATTATAATTATTAATGTAGGGATATTCTGGGTCTACTATTAAATTAAACTGGTGACTGTAAATTTTTTAATTAATGAAAATTAGATGCATAAAAAAAAAAAAAAATCTATTTCCTATCTATACAATTTTCATTTTATGTGAAATGTAATTAATGAAAATTAGATACATAAAAAAAAAAAAAAAATCTATTTCCTATCCATACAATTTTCATTTTATGTGAAATGTAAGGATGTGTGTTTGATTGTCAATATTTTCCATGAAAAATGTATTTTTCACTCAAATTCCTACTTTTGTGTTATTTGATTAACATTTTTTCCTATGAAAAATATTTTCTTACTTTTGATCATGTGACCATATTTTCCTTAAAATCAAAGAAAATATTTTCTTTAAGAAAAATAGGATTTTATTTTCCAAAAAATTCACTCTATCTCTCTTTCTCACTCATTTACCAACCAATAAAAAAAGGACAATTATAATATTTTCTAGATTAAAAATTAAATCAATCAAATATATTTAATTGACAATTTCACGCAAATAAATTCTAGACAATTGAATTGCTTATAATTTATTTTCTTTCCATGCAATTTCTATACTTACAATCAAACACACCATAAGTGTAAATCAACCTAGGTTGTACAAAGATATAGCAAACTCATATTGAAACTATATTGCTATGCTTTGTTAAATTCTGCATTTTTTTGCTGATAAAAATTTGTAATTTAATTAGCTGTTTCAATTGCTCACAAATATAAGAAAATATAACACTTGCAATTTGATCATATGAAAATGTCTTCATAACTTCAATAGGTTTTCGCTGCAACTATTTACTGAATACACTTTTGTTCATTCCAATTGAAGGTATTTTTCTTCGAACGGATATAAGGACCTTTATCCAACTGAATCCCAATGAAATAAATTCCAATTCATATATGCAGACCCAAAGAAAAGTGCATGGTCAGGTGATATACACATCAGTGTCCATAATAGCTTGGCTTTACTGGTGCATTTGGATGTGATTGTGGCATATTTCACCAATGAATCACAGAACTAAAGAAACAATTTAATTTCAAAACTCTCACAGACAAAGATATAATCACATTTAAAATCGATTATAAGAAAAGTGATTCATTGTAAACAGGATTCTACGATCCTGAATGTGTCTCAAAACGTTATGGAACAGTTACTAATGTAGGAGACAAGTTGATTTTCAAGAAATATGAAATTATATAGACATCTAAGATAGCATTCAAACAAGTGGATGCAAAATCTCGGCAAATATAGCTAGAAAGAAAAAACAAAGCAGCCAAAGGTCAAATAGTCAAATCATCAAAAAGTAGATATGACATTTAGAACGATTCAATACGCTTCTTCAGAATGATCTTCGTCTATTTCTTCACCCCACCATGATGAAAACCCGGGGTGACCTATATTCCTGTACCCCCGAGTATTTTCTTGTTAAGTTGATCAATTCCTATCTAATGCTAGAACATTCTAGTTACTTCAACAAAAGAACATGGAACCTGCAACATCCTTGTGCAACCTGGGCAGCTGAGGAACGGGGATACTTTCCTGTCCGGACAAACTTTCAGAAAAATCCTCGAACTTTAGAATCTGTCCCATTTGATGGGCTGCAAGATGTGCATAAAATATTGGTGCAACTGCAATGAAGAAAAGTGCAAAGATGATCAACTTTCTCATCAGGATGATTAACAGGATAGCAAATTTTAGCAAGGACTCTTAACGTACCTAGTGAGCTCGCAATAGTACTTCTTTGGTTCCTGCAGAAACAAATTAAAACAATTACTGAGGCCAATTAAAAGAATACTAATCCACTGGGACATAAGGGGGGAAAAAACTCTCTCAAGGTCCGAAACTTACACGTATGACAGTGAATGGATAAGGTTTTGTAAATCATCAGGAGAGAAACCAATTTCATCAAGCAAGACATGATAATGGGCAGGCCGACTTGTACCCTGTCATTTTAAGTTATGCATGGGGGTACATTCAGTAAATAAAAAGGTCAGAGTTGTTCACTCAAGAAAATTCCAGGGCTTTACTTCAGTTGACAAGAGAAAATGGATAGAAGAATAAAATTTATATAATATCTTTAGTTAACAAATCAAAATCTCGGTCTAGCCTTATAACTTATTCCAATCAGACATGCCAGAGTAAATTCTAAACTCAAAACACATTAAAGTTCATATATATATGATTCAGCATTGTGCATCGAAAAAAATAATGGCGTCAACTTAAAAATAAACTATATTATACATTCTTGACATGAATCCACTAGATGGCCAACAATGGGAAACCGAAAATCACTAAAAATCTGCAGTAGTCATTGGCCAGTGAGATGCTATTGCAGATTGGAAGCAATTCAACTCCGAAGGTCAGGTCGAATTGCTGTAGCAGCAGTGTGGAAGTCCAGCACAAAGATCCAACTGGAAATTGTTCTCTTCTACCTAAAGCAAATGGCCTTTGATCATAAATAAGCAGACGACTAGGGCTCCTAAGCTGAGATGTTGATGTGGTTGTCACATCTCATATTCTGAGAAAATGAAACCCTATCTTGCCTGCTGACTTGTTTCGTCACATCATTAGGATTCTGGGTAGATTATACCATGATTTTCTTCAAAAGTATCTGTGCAATAATGCCTTTAGCATGGCAAACTCGTGTGGTTTGGATCACAGGAGGTCATGGGTAATTGCATAAATGGCAATGATTTGGACAATTTATTTGAATTTTCAGTCCCCCTTTCAAGTACCGGTAGCATTTCCTTTATAAAAGTAAAAAACAATTGTTGTAACATACCTTTTTCACAAGTCAAAAATCAATTGGGAGCTCTAGGATTCGGAGTCCCCTGTGAGAGGAACAGAGTGGGGTCCTACACCTGAATCAGTACCATCAGTTTGCATTTTCTTAACCCCCAAGCACAAATCACTCTCACATAATCACATTCTTCCTATTCATTAACAGGGCTTTTCGAGGGTTTGCATGATAGATCCCATGCAGTTTGATCTTAGCGTTTAGAGGGCTATGTTCTGCTCTTCATCCTCTAGAATGAACTCAATTTCCCTAGCTATCCATGAACGAGTCTCAGGCAGCGTCTACAGTGAAAGGCCAACCTGATTCGTTGGAGCAGTATTACCTACCTACATTACCTGGTCAATGGTACTCAGTAATCAATAACCTAATACCCAACCATTCTCAAAAGAAAAATTTTCTTTTTCTGATACTTTTAGGGATTCATGCTCAATTTTGAACATGAGGTTAAAATACAGACGTCATTCCACATTGTCAGTCAATTTTCTTCAATTTGACTGCAATTCTTGTCACGTCCTTAGCTATGTATGATATCGTGGCTTTCTAGTACTGCAGAAATAAGTCCATTGACAAATTCTGAAGGATATGTTTGACACTGCAAAAAAGGAATTAAATCCCTAATTCGATTCCCACACTCTATAGTTGTAAATAGATTGGCATCTTCCTAATTTAATTGTTAAAAATCTGGTCATTAGGGTCTAAAATCTCCTAGAAAGATTTATCCCTATTTCTTTGCACAGAATTAGTGTCCTAATTACAAGTCAAAAATTCTATTAATCTTGATCTGGAGCTCAAGAATTTCTCCTAAGAAAATCCTTTATTTTTTTCTTCTCTTCTCTAACTTTTGTGTAATACCTTGAGTTCATTGCCCTTTTTTTAGCCTAGAATGTCAATTACCTCCAAAATCTCAAATCCACCCCAGAATGTCAATTAGTCTACTCAAACATCACTCAATGAAATTCAGATTATTCACCCATCCTGTTCTGGATGGGAAAAATGACCTAATTTGATCTAAAGTGGTTCGAACAAAATTGAAAGGTAAAGGGAAGCTCAACCATTTGACAGGCCCTGTACCCAGCAAAGAGGGTCCAAAATTTGAGGCTTGAGATGTGGAGGATTCTTTAATCATATCATGGCTATAGGACATGATACAATCTGAAATTAGTGAAAATTTTATGTTTTTAACCACTGCCAAAAGAGATGGGATACTGTGAAACACTCGCACTCCCAAGTCAACGATACAGCCTATCTTTTTGAAGTTAAAACCGAGATTCATTCCACTAAACAAGGTACAATGTTGGTTACTGAATATTATAATACCTTGAATGGTTTATAATTTGAACATGATTACAATCGAAATCTCAAAACGACTTGTGGTGATGATGCACCGATCATGTTGAAATTTGTCAAGGAGAAAGAATATATGAATTCTTGGCTGCACTTAACATGGAATTCGAAATCTGAGAGCCAGTACTTAGAAAGGAAGAGGTGTCTTGAGCGAAGTTTTCTCCATTAAGCTAAGAAGGGAAGAAAGATTGTGATGCTTGACTCCCCTGTTGCTAAAGGATTTGTGCTAGTAGCGAGAAAGAAGCCATCTTCAAATAGCTTCGGTGTTCCAAAGCAGAATCATGATAGTAGAGAACCACCGAAAAATAAACGTGAATGTTGTTGTAACTTTTGAAAGAGTTCCAAACATACAAGGACGATGTGTTAGAAATTGAACGGAAAGCTATCATTTGGTAGAAATAACCAGCAGTAGTATATCCCATGAAACAGCTGAGCAGACATAGTTGTTACAGATGAATACCCGTCCAGCAATGAACCAGAGGTAAATACACTAAATAAAGAGGAGGTCAAGAAGCTTCAAAATCTTCTTACTTCAACTGGAAAACTATTGGTTTGTGTTCATTTGCACACTAAGGCAACCATAATTCATCTAACGCTTTTAATGCATCAAAGGACTGTAAAACACATGATAACTAGGTTGTTAATTCAGGTGCTACTGATCACATGACTAACTTACCACGTCACTTCACTACGTACACCCCATTTCCTAGAAAACAAAAAATAAAAGTTGCAGATGTACATATTAACTTCAACTGCTGGAAAATGGACTATTTTCCTCATTTTCAATTTCTCATTAAAATTTGTACTTCAAGTGCCTAACTTTTCTATTAATCTGTAGTCTATTCATAAACTCACAAAAGACCTGAACTGCAGCATTATATTCTTCTCTGATTGTTGTGTCTTTAGGAAATAGTTATAAGAAAAATATTAGACTTGACAAGGAGAGTGAAGAAATTTATTTCTTGGTTGTGACAGTAGAGGGAGATCAATACCTCTGTCTCATTTAGCTAGAAGGATCTCACCAAATAAACTTCAAATTTGGCTTTGGCATCTTCGTTTAAAACATCCATCTTTTTAAGTTTCTAAACCCTATGATACTCGGACTTAGGTACGGGTATGTATCTAAATATCGGATATCTTATTTTCTAAAAATGTATTACAGGGGGACATGGCTAAAAAAAGTCCAAATTTCAGACACGAATGCGTGGGTATGTCTTGCAAACTTCAATTTTTTATTTTATTTATTTATTTTTTTTACTAATCCAAAATGTCATTTTGAATGGATCAAAATAAATTATTAACAAGGAAGGAAATGAGTATTAAATAAGAGGTTAAGACGAATAAAATAGAAATTTGGGATTTAGTTTTCAATCATAGGAATTATTAAATATTATACAAAATAGAAAATGAGGGATTTGATTGCACTTTGAATTTAGTGGAGCACTATATGAAATCCATTTTCATTTTATACAAACAGAACCCTAAACCACCATTACAAAAAGAGAGAGAGAAGGAAAATTGAAAGAAAAAAGAAAGAAGAATAAAAAGAAGGGAAAACATAGCGTCACTATCCTTCTCCATCCTTTTGTGATGATGTTAGGTTTATAAAGAGCAACAATGGGAAAGAAGAAAAGAGAAAGTAAAGGAAAAGAGAAAAAAGGAAAGAAGAAAGGACGAAGTGTTCAATTGAAATTTAGAGGATCCAACACATATCCCATATCCATACCCGTGTGTGTCATGTTCGACATGAGTATCGGACTATTTCGAAGAGTCAGAGCATTTGAGTCTAAAACCATGCTTCGTACTTTGTTTGAAGACGTGGATGAAAAATCTCTTCATTGTGAAGTATGTTAATTTGCCAAACATCGTCGTGTTTCATTTCCTTTGAGTTCTAATAAATTTATATATCCATTTTCATTGATTCATGAAAACAGAATTGGGAAAAAGAATTTTCTATTTCACGTTTCACTGTGCAAAACAAAACTCCTACTTATAGTACAAGAAAAAGAAAAACAGAAAAGGAAAAATACAAATCAAATCCTCTATAATCTCTAAACATGGCAATAATCAAATAATATACTATGTCTATAGAAAGTAGAATCCCTAACAATAATATAAAATCACTCTTCCAATCATCTAGGGATTTTAACACTCCCCTTCAAGTTGGATCGTAAATGTTGATTGTATCCAACATGGACATGAAATCATCAAATTTTGGTCTGGGCAGTCCTTCGGTAAAGACATCTACAATTTTTGAGCTATTGTGAGAACATAGGCCATACGAATCTTCCTTCCTCAACTTTTCCTTTGATAAAGTGCCTGTCTACTTCTACATGTTTCTTCGTGTCATGCTGAACTAGATTAAAAGATGTATATTACTGCTTTATTATGACAATAGAGTTTGATTGGCAACTTTATTGTGACATGTAACTCTTCCAGAAACTTCCTCAAGCATAGTCCTTCACAAATTCCTTATGCAACATCACAAATTCTTTGTGCAACAGATTTGAACTCTATTTCAGCACTACTTCGAGCTACTACCTTGAGGTTGACTGTCATTTCATTTGTGAAAAAATCCAAAAAATTAATCTCTACTTGTTATGTGAAGACTGAAGAGCAACTTAGAGATATCTTCACAAAAGCATTGAATGGGAATAGGATTGAGTATCTTTGTAACAAGTTGGTCATGATCAATATCTATGCTTCAGCTTGAAGGGTGTTACAACACTATTGGATTTTTCTGTTTGATGATCGACAGACACTTGATAGCCCCGATTTTTTTTATCACTACTATATAAAAAGGGCAATGTTTCGCTACTGTAGAAAGAACATTAGATTCTTCCATTTCACAGCAATTTTTTTCATCTCTAGAGTAAAAACGACAACGTTTGCAAAAAAATGAAAAAAAAAAAAAAACATGCAGGCTATAGTGATGCACCCACTTATCCTCAATTTAGGTGGATCTTTCTTCTTTTCCATTTTTAGACGCTACTGTCAGTTCTCTCCATTTTACCACGTAAATTATTTGTTATATATTTTGTATGGATTGATTGAGGTCTTGTTGTTCTGAATTTTAGTTCTTATTCTTGTTTTTATTGAAATTTGTCGACGGCAGCTCAATATCATTTACCGGAATTTGATTGATTTTTTTCTTGTGTTTTGTGTGAATTGGTTTCATTTTGAATTTTTTTTTTTTTTTTTTTTTTTTTTGTTTTACTGAATTCATAATATTCATTATATATATTGAAAATAAAATATTATAATTGTAAATTCTACCTAGGTAAAAAAAAACATAATTTTGAAAATAATATTTGCAGAGTAGTCCTAATCCTCCTAAATAAATATAAATAGGGGATGGGTTTTATTCAATTTTCCCAGACACGTGTTTGTTTCTAAAAACAAATTTTACCAATGGGGTCGACCCATCTTTGTCCATGGGGTTGATCCCCTTTCTTACAGTATTTACGCTCTCTTAATTGTGATTACTTTTGATCATAGCTACTATTTTATAATCTCCACTACTAAATTCTTTTTTTTTTTTTTTATATTGTGCAATTTTTTGATACTATATTTACTTTTAATTTGGAATGAATGTAGTAAAGGAAAACAATTTAATTCTTGTGGAGTTTTTAAATGATTAACTTTGAAGCCATGCTATTTATTATTTTCAATATTGCAGGATTAGCTGTTATCTTCCCCCTTACCATTTTTATTGACTTTCAATGTATTGTTCACCGAAAAATTTCACTAGCCAAATATTGCAAGTAACAAAATTCTACAACAAATTAGCTATTTTCGAACTGCAAGTCTCAATAGAAGTGCTTCCTTTCCTTTTTCTCTTCTTCTCTATTTATTTTCTCCCTTCCCCGTTAGTTATAAGTAAATTATGTAATTACACAAATCATTAAAGTTGATGACTTTCTTACAAACTTCATTGACCATCCACCACGAAAAAATGTACTTCTATTTTAACAAGGAAAAAATGTTATTTGTATTGCTATTGTTTTGAAGAAGTACCCTTTAAATTTCAGTCGAATTCAGAATGCTGTTTGGATTCATTAGTCACCAAATTCAGTTTTGGATTTTCAATTTCATTTCATTTGAGGATTTAATTCCGAATATCCTCTTTCACTTTGTTTAGTATTAAACTAATGGAAATTAGTGCATTGTTCTTTTTTCCTCTGGTTTGTACATAACTGTAACTTAACTTTATTTCCCTTTCTTTTTCCTTTATTTACTATGCACAACCTCAAGTTTTACTAATCTCATGAGTTATGATATACATAAAAAATCTTACACAAACTGATTAATTTTGTGCTTATGTAAACATTTTGTCTCAAAGAGTAAATAATAAAAGAAAATCATGTCAAATTACCAGTGATGTTTCTCACTAAGTTACTCTTTAGTTATAGCTGTTTTCACCAACATAAGAATTAAGACTTGGATATTCTCTTCTAGAGTTAAGTTGCTGAGTGTACTATGGTAAATGCTTTAAAATTTTTGTTCACATCTCCAGGCATATGTATTGAATATTGTTCACGATAGTTCCAAACATCATTTTTTTAGCGGTGGACGTGCAGCTAGAATTGGAATAATTCTTTATTTTTCCCAGTCCACTGTTCAACTTTTTCATTTGACAGTTTTGAAAATTAATGATTTAGTAGCTGGAGATATAATTATTAGTTTAAATGAACGAGATGAGGACATAAACCATTGGGGCTGCCTCAGGAAAGTCAATGGAGGAGGGTGGTATCTTGTAAGTATCCTACATTATAGTTTATCCCAAGGAAGCAATTTGTTTCAAACTTGTTAAATGCTAGTCTTTTTTTTACCCCTTGAAAATTGCATTCCCACGACTATTTTAGTAGTTGTTGCTCATAGAGCTAAATGCTTTAAATATGTACACAATCTAGATAAATTTTTTACCTTCTATTAATTTCTAATGGTCCACTTTTCTCGAAGTATAGATAACACACTTTTTTCCGGTCTAAGAATAAAGATATCACTTGTTAGTTTGTATGTGAATTTGTAACTTCTTCAGGATATGCCTACTTGTGACCTTGGTTTACCTAATCTTCTTGAGATTCAACAATTAGTTTATTTAGTCGACAACATCAGCTTAAAATATTCTATGTAATAAAAGGCTGATTTTCTAAAAGAAGCTGATTCCTTTGAAGGAGAGCTTCATTTTTAAAATATTCACTTCCTCCTTTTGAAGTGGACAAGAAAAATCCGGGTATTGTTAGAAGCATACATATGGAGGATAAGTTTCTAGATTTCAAAAATATTGAATCTCAATATTGGACAGAACTAGATGTAGTATTGAGTAATGTTAAGGAGTTTTTGAATTTTACAGAGTTTAAGTTAACGAAATATCTATCAGAGCATCGTTTAACAATACAATGCCTTGAAGTTTAGTTACACTGCTCAAATTCCTCATCACGAATGGACACCTAAGTGTTGTAGAACAACCACGTTTTAAGGAGTACTCAACATTTCATTAAGAAAAATAGCCGTTGATGAAGAATTTTAGGACTTTCAGGCTCTAACTTCTGCTTTACCTTGAATTATTTCTCTAGTGTACAATAATACATTTATATCTACAATAATTTGTTGAAGAATGTACTGCTATGGTACTAGCTTTTTTTGCTTGGAATGCTTTTACTGTCCAATGGAATACTTCTTTGACTAACTATGACTTGAATTCTCATTATTAATGGATTTTATTGATTCTGCAACTTTTGGTAGAAAAATAACATTTTGTGGAAAAACGATGAGTGATCGACTCGTATAACTGGTTAGTTCCTTACCAATAATTCCAACTTCCCATATATTTTCAAACATATTCAATACATACGCTAACCAAACCATAATTCATATAGACTAGTTTTGTTTCGGTTTCCAATTTGCTGGCTTTCTGTGGATGTCCCAACATATATCTTCTTTGTGTCCTGGTTTGCAACAACGTTCATACCAGGGTTGACCCTTTTGTTGTTTTGAGTTTGACCCAATTACTGGCCCTTTAGAATATAGACCCAATGCTCCAAGCCCGTCACCGGAATAATTGGGCCCAATATTAGAACTTAGCCCAATAGAAGTTATATCTCTTTGAAATAAAGGCCCACTTTTAAAATTGGATGACCCATTATGTTGAGGCCCAATTCCTTTCATTATACGGCCTAAAACTTCAATACTAGACCCGACCCACTTAGCATCTCTCCAACGACTCTCTTCATGCCTCACTTTTGCAAAAACTTCTAGCAGCGACGACAATGGTTCCCAATAGAGTATTCAGCTTCTGACATCCTCCAAATCTCGTGAAGCCCAGTAAAGAACTCGAACACTTTCATTTTCCAGTTTTTTCTGATAATATACGCTATCTTCTTGGCACTTCACTTTTCCTCATAACTCAGGTCGAGTTCTTGCTACAGTGCCATTATCTCTAGGTAATAGTCAGTCACCTCTTGCTTTCCCTGCTTCGTTTGCCACAAACAAGACTTGATTTATATATTATTTATAAATTATTTAAATTTTACTCTTAACCACACATTTTAGTAGACCTACAAGTACTATTGACTTATCCATAACTCATTTCTATCTATTCATAAATTAAACCGATTATATTTTTTTCTCCAAACAAAGGCTTGAGCATTTGTTATTGTCAAATTTTAGGCTTTCTAAAGTCTTTTATAGTCTCAAAGACCCTAACCAAAAGACTCCAATTTCTGGTCAGCTCGGCCAAGGAAGAAATCCTCTTCTCTTTCTAATCAAGACACTCTTAAAAGAGTGGATAAAGGGAAACAGAAGGTGGTTGTGGTGGTACCTCCGATTCTAGGGTTTGCTCAAGCATCATGCCCAAGCAACATTGATATCCTTGAGGCAGTCACAAACAAAAAATATTGGGCCCCAAGGAATAACAAGAGGCTCTAATTGATGAGTAATGTGATGGTGGAAACTGACATATTCTATAATTTTAAGGCAAATGTAGCAATCTCAGAGGACCAAGTATGTAAGGGCAAGCTAGTAGAGATCGATAGATTCCTAAGAGAAATGATCAACTACAACAGTATCGAACTGTGAGCCTGAAGGATGATAATGATAGGCAGGCACGAAGATTGTCTATCTCGAACTTTATAAGGCGATGATTGACTCCAAGAGGCAACTGAGGCAAAATCTCTGCAAACATCCAAGGCCCTTGCAAAGTACAAAGAATTTGCTGACTTCCTCTACCAAGATGGTGATTGAGCATGGACTTGGTAATTGTTGAAGTTTTGGCTACACGTATTGATTTAACTTGTCACATTGGGTCTGTAGGCGCCATCATTTTGCCACATTAGCATGGGTACAAAAAAGACAATTATGAGGTTCAACAGAAAGATGATGTAAATCATTCATAAATATACATCCTTGTCCATTTGTTCAATTTTTCTGACGACCAAAAATGGAAGGACAAGGGGTAAAAAAAAAAAAAAAAATGAGGACACAATTTCTGGGTGGTCTCTAACTACTCTGCAATATAGTTAGAGGGAAGAATAATAACAACTTACAATCATCCCTGCATGAGAACACATGAAGAAATCATAATTTGTAGGATGAACAACTTTGGTGTCCACAACAGTACCTGCAGAGAGAGAGAGAGATAGAGATGTCAGTGTTTGATTTACTATGAAACAGGAGTAAATTGATGAAAAAAACTGACCAGGTGGGACATTTCCAGGGGCAGCAGCTTGAAATAGTTTAGTGCGATGATTCTTTTGAGCCACTATGAAAGTGAACTTTGGAACATCAACCTCACCAAGATGCTGATACGCCTACAATAGGAAAACTTTAGGACTTCTGAATCAAAGTTGTCATAAATGAACTTACACCAAAGAGCAGCAATATTTTTACCGAATACGTCTGCTTCTATTAGTAGATGTATAAAAAAGATCAGCAAGTTAGTTTACTTATATACAAAATATTGGAAATCAAACAAAAATAGATGAATCATATTTTTGAAAATTCTTTTTAGTAATTCCACAATTTTCAAAAAAAGTAACCCCAACACAATGACGTTAGAAGGAAAGCAACAGAAAAAGGCCGATAGAAGCTCATTCAAATTTTCATGGAAGCCAAAAACAGAAAAGTACCTTGATCATTTGGTCAAGCTCAGTGTTCATAACTTGAGCAAACTGTGATTCATTCACACCATCCCTGAGAAAAGTTGAAACCTGTTGATTTTGGGAGAATAACATATTTCATACATTGATTCTAAACGGGTTACATATATGTACATACATACGGAGGATATTTCTCGTTAGGAAAGATCTGGATTTATGCACCTACCATATATTCATCTATTAAATAAGTAAAGACCCCCTAAATTGATGCATACAATCTCATAACACTCCCCCTCAAGGTGGAGCATAGATATCAATCATGCCCAATTTGTTACAAATATAATTTACTCGATTCCCAGCTAAGGCCTTAGTGAACACATCAACTAATTAATCTCCTGTCTTGACATGTTTTGTTGAAATCAATCCTTGTAACTTTTCACGAACAAAATGACAGTCTACCTCTATGTGCTTTGTTCTCTCATGAAATACTGGATTAGTGACAATGTGAATAGCTGCTTGATTATCACACCACAAGTTCATACAGTGGGACTTATCAATGCCAATCTCTTCAAGTAAGTGATGTAGCCACATAAGTTCACAATTCACCCGTGTAATAGCTCGATATTCAGATTCTGCACTTGATCGAGCTACAACACTTTGTTTCTTACTTTTCCAAGAAACGAGATTACCCCCAACAAAAACACAATACCCTGTAGTAGAGCGCCTATCCACAAGAGAACCTGCCCAGTCAGCATCCGAGAAACCCTCAACTCTACAATGACCATGGTCTTTATAAAGAATCCCACATCCTGGAGCTCCTTTAAGATATTTTAATAAATGAGTTACAGCATCCCAATGTGAAGTTCTAGGAGATGACATAAACTGACTAACAACACTTACGGGAAAGGCAACATCTGGACGAGTGATTGTGAGATAGTTCAACTTTTTCACTACCCTCCTGTACTGCATCAACCAACACATCTCCATCTTCTGCTCCAAGTTTCACATTTGGTATCATAGGGGCATCACTTGATTTTGCTTCAGCTAATCATATCACATCCAATAGATCTAGAGTATATTTTCTTTGAGATAGAAAAATTCCTTTACCACTTCAAAAGATCTCTATCTTCAAAAAATATTTCATAGGACCTAACTCCTTTGTCTGAAACCTTGTGCCTAAGAAAGTTTTCAGCATACTCATGCCACTGCTATCACTACCAGTAATCACAATATCATCAACATATACCACTAACAAAACACATCCAACTGTAGACTGTTTAAAGAATACTGAGTGATCATATGCACTTCTTTGCAAGCGAAATTCTATTACAACCTCACTAAATCTTCCAAACCAAGCATAGGGTGATTGTCTTAGACAATACAATGACTTTTGCAGTTTGCATACCTTCCCTGACTCTCCTGAGCAATAAACCGGGTGGTTGCTCTATGTAAACTTCTTCAAGCAAATCACCATAGAGGAATGCATTTTTAATATCCAATTGGTGAAGCTGCCAATGATAGGTAGCAGCAAGAGAAATGAATAACCGAACAGAGGCTAGTTCAGCAACAAGAGAGAAAGTCGCAGAGTAATCCACATCATAAGTTTGAGCATACCCTGTAGCAACCAAACGAGCCTTCAACCGAGCAACAGATCCATAAGATTCATCTTGACAGTAAACACCTATTTGCACCTGATTGCCTGTTTATTGAGGGGTAAAGAAACCAAGTCCCATGTGTGATTGTGTTCCAGTGCCATCATTTCTTCTTGCACGGCTGCTCGCCAACCACTATGGAACAAAGCCTCAAAGACGGATTTTGGTACAGACACATGCTCCAAGGAAGCAATGAAGGACTTGGAAGATGGTGACAATGCATGGTAAGTAACAAAAGAAGAGATAGGATAAGTACATGATCGTTTACCTTTTCGGAGATCAATGGGAAGATCAAGAGAAGGATCAGGAGGGGACAATGAATCTTAAGGCGAAGCAGCAGGTAGAGGTGATAAGTCATGGTCAATAGCAAGCGTAACCGGAGATTGCTGCACACGACGAGTGCAAATACTTCGAATAGGACGAGAAGGTACTAGTACCACAGGTGTAGTTACAGTGTAAGCAAGGAAATCATCCTCAGACTCAATAGAGGATGGAGCATAAGGCATAGTAGTACTGGAGAAAGGTGTGGACTCGAAAAAGGTTACATCAGCAGACACAAAGTATTGTCCTAAAGAAGGAGAAAAACATCGATAACCTTTATGATGTCGAGAATAGCCCAAAAATATACACTTAAGGGATCTAGGATCAAGCTTGGAAACTTGAATTCTCATATCTTGAACAAAACAAGTACATCTAAATATTCTAGGAGCAAGAGAGAATAAAGTATGAGAGGAAAACAAAATGGAATAAGAGATCTTACCATCTAAGATGGAGGAAGGCATACGATTGATTAAGTAACATGCAGTAGAGACTGTATCTATCCAAAATTCTTTTGAGACTTTCATATGAAAAAGAAGAGCTCGTGCAACTTCCAATAAATAGCGATTCTTTCTTTCCGCTATACAATTTTGTTGCAGAGTAACGATACATGAAGATTGATGAAGAATGCCATTTTGGGAAAGAAAGGAAGTAAATGTGGAGGAGAAATATTCCTTAGCATTATCAGTCCTTAAGATACGGATAGATTTATCAAATTGAGTTTTAATCTCAGCATAGAAAGCACAAAAAATTGAGTATAGTTCAGAACGATTTTTCATAAGATATAACCAAGTAACTTGAGAATGATCATCCACAAAGGTAAGAAAATAGCGAAACCTAATCTTAGATAAAACAGGGCAAGGACCCCAAATATCAAAATATATTACATCAAAAGGGGACGCAGCTCGTTTATTTAGTCTAGGGAAATATGGCACCCCGTGGTGTTTTGCTAATTGACACGACTCACAATTTAATTGAGGTACCTGACTAAGACTAGGGCATAACTTCTTCAAAACGGGAAGGGAGGGATGACCGAAACGACAATGGAGCTGCAGAAGAGAAGAAGTACTAGTGCATGCAATTGACCTCGGCACCTGTGTAGGAGAAGAGTCTAGCACATACAAGCCATTGAGTTCACGCCCTCTACCAATAATTTGCTTCGTCTTAAGATCTTGGAAAACGCAATAGGTAGGAAAGAAAAGAATACTATAACTAAGGGATTTAGTAATTTGACTCACAGATAAAAGATTGAAATGAAACTGAGATAAACATAAAATGGAAGACAATGGTAGAGAGTTTGTTGGATGTGCAGTGCCGCATTCGACTACAGGAGTTGTAGAGCCATTAGCTAAAGTGACATATGGTAATTTAGAAGAATACTGAAATGACGAAAGTATACCTGTATTTCTAGTCATATGATCTGTAGCACCGGAATCAATTACCCAATTGTGGGATGAGGTAGATAAACATGCTACAGAAGTACCTTTATTGGCTAAAGTGGAAGCGGAAGTGAAAGCAAAAAGTGGAACGGGCTGTTGAGAAAAGTAAAATTGTGTAAGGCGAGCATATTCATCTGCTGGAATGGTAATTTGATGCTGAGATGTAGGAGGTGTAGGTAAAAGACCATCATAAGCGGCAGCATTGACAAATTTCCCCACACGAGTCTAACTTGTGTTTTTCGCTGGTTTGCCATTTAATTTCCAACAGTTTCTTTTCACATGTCCTTGCTATCCACAATAATAACAATCACGAGAACCGCTACTAGAGATTTTATTCACAATTTTCTTATCACTTTCAACCATGATAAATAGATTACCAAAAAGAATATAAAATGAAGTAGCTCAAATAAACTCCAAAGCAACTTAATAATAGTACAAGTCCAACAATATTGCAAACTCGATCAAAATGGAGCCCAAATAAGTAATCGCACAAAATAATAGGCCCAAACACCACACTTGAAACAGTCCAGCCCACTTCACAAATCAATTGGACAACTTAATTAAACTATAACCCAAATAAATTAGCTCAACAAACAGCCCAAAAACACATTTCCCAACAATAACCAAACTGCCTAATTGGAGGAACAAATTGAAACAACAGTCTAAATCAATATATTCAAACCCAAACACAATTCTCAATAGGCCCAAGTGAAATGAAAAAAAAAAAAAAAAATCAGCCCAAGTCCAATAACACACCAAGCCAACTGCAATCCAAAAAAAAGGAACCGATCACTATATCACAAGCCACCAGCAAAGCCCAACCAGAAATTGCGAAAGCTTTATTCACGAGTGACGTCGAAACTTGAGGGACACAGAGAGGAGGCAGAAAACCACAAGCGACGTCGCCCGAAGAGGGGAAAAATTTCTCCGACCAAGACCTACTGCTATGCTCACCGAAAAATTGAAGAACACGCAAGGACGCTGCAATACCTGAGAAGACGACCGTCGAAAGCCCAAGAAAACCCACTGTAGAGATGCCAATTCTGATTAAACCGAGTGACGTCGATTATGAACCATTAACCGAGCTCCAAAAACTCAAGGGACAACCATAGTGATGCCGGCGATGATGAATTGAGTGATGTCGACTATGTGGACATCAAGAACTGAGCGTCTCGAAGAAAATCGTAATATCCATCGCAACCATACGTGTTGAGAAAAAGGTTAAGGATTTGATACCAAGTTGATTTTGGGAGAATAACATATTTCATACATTGATTCTAAACGGGTTACATGTATATAGATACATACGGAAGATATTTCTTATTAGGAAAGATCTTGGATTTATTCACCTACCATATTCTTTATTGTGAAGTTATCGGGCTTATATAGATAACTGTGAATGTGCACTTGACATACTTGGTTCATTTTCATTCTTTATGGGTTTTATTATGAGATTTTATGCATCAATTTAGGGGTCTTTAGTTATTTAATAGATGAATAACATCCTTGAAAGAGTGCTCAAATTTGATACAATGTTTGAAAGCTGGAAAGTATTGACATGCTTTCTAGTTGTTACTTAATTGGGTATAATTATAATGGAAGAAAAATACGCAAATTAAGATAGGAGTAAATTGAGAAACTCAAATGCATCTATTTGATAATAACTTGAATAGTTTAAAATTCCAGTTTCAACATGCAAGAACTAGTAGAAAATTTGCATAAGTATAACTTTTGAAAAGGAATGTCAGGCTGCCAGTTCATCATCTGCATAAAGCTTTGATTCGGCGTGTCACAAATCGAACAAATGAAAAGATGTATAATGTACAATAGTGTGGGGTATGTATACAGATATATAGCTATTAAATTAGAAAATGAAAAGGTATGTAATGCACAAGCATCCAAACACACTGTTGTCATGATGAGTCTTACCTGAAAACAACAATCTGAGATGGTTTGCGCCGATTGCTGATTTGATAGAAATCCAGAAGCAGTTCCCTAAAGCACGATAATGTGGTATTCCTTCAGCATTAAGAAGAATTATAATTGTGAAAGGGACATTGAAAATCGTTTCAAATTAGTACCTCATAATGCCATCATCCTCCCCATTTGCTAAAGGCTTGAATAAAGATTCAATCATTTCCAACTTTGAAGCCTGGGTTCGCACAACTGCCCTATACCTTGATATCAGCGGCCATGGTCGAGATCCTACAACCTAGACAAAATAAATTGATACAGTGTTAAGCATATCTAGAATGTGATGACAGAGTACTGCAAACAACTCTACAGGCATCAAGAATTACAGCAGCAATGGATGGGATATCTGATCGACCAGGAGACCCATGTGAGACATCCATTCCTAAGATCATTGTTGGTGTATCCTTGATGAGGGGAATTCCACGAGAATGCTCTATTGCTAACAATGAATTGATCCCTCCTAGCTACAAAGGAAATTGTTGAAAAATAAGGCGAAAAATACAGTGAATGAGAACGTAAAACATGACTAGTTTTTATGAGTTCTGATTGATATATTACCTTGGAATTGATTTTGAGAAGCACGTTTGTGAGGTACTGTTCATTAATCTTAATAGGAGCAATGCATTGGGTAACAATACCCAAGCTACTCAGACACTTTTTCTTCCAAGGTCCTATATGTTATCGCCAAATTTTTTTCCCGATATAAAAAGGTGTGTGATTAGCATGAAACAATATAAACTTGCTAATATAAGACAAAAGAGTTGATACCATAAATATCAGAGTTTTTCCGCTCCGCCAAGACACAGAGAAGAAACTCAGGAGGGTCAGGTAACTTGGTCATTAGCCGTTCAAACATCTTTTCTACACGTATCACAGGCCCAGCTATTCTAGATTGTGAATCTTCCTCAAGTAATGTATATGGGCGTTCAATGTGCTGATGTGAAGGAAATGAAAAGATAAATGGTAATTAAGAAAGCAAATAAAACATAATCAAAAAGAATTATTTACAGCATACAATGCCCTTGTTCCTTCCACAATTGATAAGTTCCCTTGAAATATAGCTTATATCGCAACTTGAAGAGAAGTTGACAATTGCCCAGCTGTCTATCCATGTGGCTCTATAAAGTTTCTTCAAAAGAGAAAACTTAAAATGGTCAATTGATAAGTTAGAAACTATAACCATTGTCTACGCCGGAAGTAAAATTCTAAAATTAAGCAAAACAGAAAATGGACTAGAAACACCAATCTGTTTGTCTTCTCCTTTTTATGCCCTTCCTTCCCAAAACAAATTTAATTACCGTTGTAGAACACAAAAGACTACCTTGTTATTGAAGTTCCAACGACCATTCCGAGGAAAGCAATCTTCACCTCCGCCAACCTTTAACTGCAAGTAGAAGAACATAAAACAATCGTAAATCTGCAATGTAAAAGAATCTACCCAAGGATCATCAAAACAGTCAATAATCACCTTGGGTGCCTCGAGGACACGGCCATCAACTTGAGTAAGCTGCTTTTCAATTGAAATGCCACAAGTAGCAAGGAGTGGGTTGCCATCGTAGCAATAGTTCTTCACAGCCTGCAAAGTTTCATGGTAGAAGAGAAACTGCAGTATTAAATAAAAAGATGAAAAGGAATTGGCTGAATCACTTACATCTGTTATAACTTTAATTTTATCGAGAGGCTTCTGCCTTGATTTTTCAATTAAAGATGTTCTCTGCGTCAGTGATAATGCTTTTGTGTATCTTTGTAGAGGAACCAGATAGCACAGCTGAAGAAGAAAAAAAGCAGGAAACTAATTTTTTGAAAGAGGCCAAGGAGTTGTGAAAGAAAAACAGAGATAGTTCAGATTTTAGAACATAACTACAGAAAGAATTTCGCACCTCCAGTGGCATATAGATCGGTCGTTTAGGTTTTCCAACATCAAGGCATGGCATGAAGGCTGAATGTTTAAGTTCTATGCCACGGTGTTTGGTAAAATACTCATACACGGTAATTTCAGAAGTCTCCCCTCCGTCATCGCCACGATTACCATTTCTCAATTTCAACGTAAAACTGGAAACGTGAATCACCATCAAGAGTCTTTCGGCTGTAAGGAGTGAAGATAATACTCCGTAAGGTTAGTAATCACTCACAACTGCTGATGGCAAGGGTTCTCACTGAAACCAATGATCTTGAACTCCATATTATGATGCCTGGCTTTAATCCTCATATTCTTCAGCGTCTTTTTTGCCTATATGCAGTCTCAATATTATTAATAAAATGAATTGGAAGGAATAGCAAGTGGAAATTAACAGCAAGGAGTTGACAGTTGTTTACCTTTGTCCAGTCAATATAACAATGTTCTCTCACATTTTGGTTAGCAAGCAGGAAATCTAGTACAGGTCCAGGTGTCAAAATAACAGTTGTAGATACATCTGTACCAAGAAAATTAAGCAGCATTAAAAATTTAAAATGTTCACTGAAGAGGATCGCTGTTGCAAGATGATATTAAAAATTTACCCATATTCAGAGAAAAGCCACCAAGATTCGGACTAAAGCTGGAATGAAATCCTCTTACACCAGTCACACCCCCTCCAACATCAGAGAACATCCGTGAGTCATCATGAAAGAATGATTGTCTCACTAAAAGGCACCCTCTGCATCCAACATTCATGTTTTATGCAACAAGCTGATAACAATTTTTCAAATACAATAAAGAACCGATATTTAATTATGCCTATTAGCAGCTTCTTGTCTGAGTATAACATCTAGCACCCTCATTGCATCTTGAACTCTTTCTGGTTCAGCTCCTTGAAGGGCAAAAGAAATAAATTTCAACGGCACTTTGGCTGCATAACTGATCTCTACTTTAAATGTTTTCGCCTGTAGAGAGTGCTTAGACCTTTTACCAGATTCACTCAGGCTCCCGTCATTGGAAGGACTCCCACTACTACAAAACAAAGGATTTTGCTTGTGTTACAACTAGATGTACTGTTAAGTCTGAAAAAATAAGCACAACGTCAACATATGATAATAGGAATCACCTTTTGCCAATAGACTCCTCAAGAATTATTGTGAACTCCGAGCAATTTTGAGGTAATGGCCTCACTGTATACAGACTATGTGCCCCGTCATATGCAAAACTCTTCCCAGAAAGTTCAGAAGAGTATGTTTGGTAAAGCTTATCAATGACTTTTCTCCCAATTCCCTTGCCATCAACAGCTTTTCCATCCTCAAAATGAATGGAAACCTGCATACATTATGAATCATATAACTTATTGCTGTATCATAAAGACCTGTATAAACAAAGAGAGGATAACTGGTAAGTGTACGCTGTAATGGTAAAAAATTTCATCAGGATTTTTGACAGAAGCTTTGAAGTGATTTGTGAGCAGAGAGATGTGCTGTCCAGAAGTCCCAAATCCAGGCCGGCTAATTATAGACCGCTTGAGCAAGTCCACTTTTTCTACCTTCACACTTGGTGGTATAGTTGGTGATAATGAGGGCAAAGATGGGGAATTATCCATCTCTTCACAAACCTTTTCCATTTCCCTAGTCGAATAAGTAACCTAAAATAGTAAAGCAACAAATTTTAATAAGCATCATCCTTTTAACAACCAAACCAAAGCAAGGAAACAAAATGAATTACATGTATGTTTTATGCCCTAGGTCCAATCAATTTTAAAAGTAACACTTTTAATATGATTAATACATTATTATTTATTGCAGATCTATTATTTAATTGAGTTATTATTCAAACAAATTAAATTAATAGAGTCCGCAGATTCAAGTCTTGATAACTTATCAATCACAAAAATTTATGATTGTAAGAAACAAATTACATGCGACAATTTTAAATTAGCCGTGATCGTAAGTAATAACAAAATATGAATATCATTGTTGTGAATAAGGCCTACACGTGTGACATTTCTCACAAGCTAAAATACAGTGACATTTAAATGAACGCATAGATGTTTTGTTAAGAGATAACTATTTGAGCATCAATGATTAATCTCGAACGTTCAATGGTGAAATTAGTCCTTCAACTTGAGGTCATCACAATGTCTTCAAAGAGTTGCTAATAGGGCATGTCAAGAATCATATAAATGTTTTGAATGATCAATACAGAATTCGTCACTCTTAGATAATAAGATATTATGATCTATATTTCATTCAGTTAAGTTGATAATGAAATCATTAGCCAATGTGAGTTCCTAAATTGAAAAAAGTTTCAATGTTTATTGACTTAAGAGTGGGATGAAAGTTATAATCGATAATTGAGATTACGCACTTCCATATCTTGTAATTAATTGAATTCTAGTTACAAAGGGATTATAGTTTCATGTTAAACGAACAAATTTGGTCTTATCAATCCACGTGACATTTTTAGTCATATGTATTGCCTGACACATTGCTAGATTTCAATTTGTGACAACAAATGTGAATTAATTAATCTAAGTAAATTTAAGATTAATTTAAAGGATAGTTTTAATTTATCTTATTATGATTAGATCAAAATAGTAATTCAATCGTTCAACATCGTGATAGAGAATGTAATGGATCACACACAAAAGGAGAATTAGAAGAATGATATTATGAATTAATTAATTAGATTGTTTATTTATGGGCTTAAGTTAATTGATTGTATTAATTAACTTATATGCTACGTTTAATTAATTGGATTAATTTAATATTGGACTGGCTTATATTTATTCAATTAAACATCTATAAATAAACAATTAGAGTTCAATTTTTCATAAGTTGGTACAATAACAATTGAGATTGCTATTATAACTAATACATTTCACAATATCACAACCTTGCTAGCGCAAAAACAAAAAACAAACAAAAAAACTAATCTCTTATTATTGTTCTCAAACATAGATTACCATTGAAGGTTGAACAATTGAACGAGTATTGTGTGGAAAGATCAATTCACAAAGGCATGCAAAGATTGTAATTGTTCATGATCCAAGATTCTTGAAGGAATTTGAAGAATTTACTAAATGCATAATTCTAATCATGATTTCTATCTAAACACAAAAATGATCATCGAAGGGAATTGAGATTATTTTTAAATTTTACCATGCATGTATAAATAAATTCCTAACAATGATATTGGAGCCGAATTTGTACTAGTTGAAAATTATTTTTGAATCTGGAAACAATCAATAGTTGATTATTGATAATTTCTTTGTCTAGCTTTTAAGAAAATTGATTTTAATAAGTGGTCAACGAAAGTGCTAGCGGCAGCAATCATAGTCAACATTAGCGACTTGGCTTTGCATCTCAAGGCAATCTAAGTCGCTAATCACAATAGCGCCAATCGTCGCTATGAGCCTTTTTGCAGCACCAACTTTTATGTAGGAGCAAAGAGTGCACAATTGCCATATAATGATAGCGCTCCCTGTGATGCTGTTGGTGGTCATTGAGTTGTTGTCGACATCGCCCAAGTGATATATATTGGAGGGGGGCCTGTTGTGTAATTTGTCAAATTGCAGGCCTCTACACGCAACTTTAATTCATGGGGTTATCTTACAATTTTAAAAGGGCCTATTTGCAACTAGAAAAATTGGGGGGATCAAAATACAATTTCAAAAAGGGTTTTCAACATAAAATTTGAAAATGATTTAAATTTGAATTTCAAAAGAGTTTGACCACAAATTCAATTTTGACCAAAATTTTATTTTGAATTGACTAATATTTATTTATAAGGCTTTAAATTAATGTCAAAATTGGATTTTAACTAAAATTTTAGAACTTCAACCCCAAATTGGATTTTAATTTGTTCAGGAGTTTCATCCTATATTAAAATGTTAAATCAATTCGCCATAAAATTTTGAAATTAGAATTGGAATCTATTTTATATTTTATTAAACTTTGATTTTACAAATTTTATTTAGATCAAATTCGCCCTATAATCTTAGAATTAAAGTTGGACCTTAATTTGGTATTTAATTAAAACTTGATTTTAATTAAATATATCCGTCCGAAATTTTCTTTTTAGAAATAGAGTTGTACTCTAATTTGGTATGTAGTTTAAATTTAATTTCGATTAAATAAAATTATTAAATTAATTGTTAATTAGATTAATTAATTATTTAATTGTTCCCATCCTTTTATATAAATCAGTTTAGACAAATTTAATTGTTAGAAATTTAAAATATGTTTATGTATAATATTTGATATTAGATAATAATGTATTTATGTGATGAGTGAATACTTATTGGATGATTTTAGACTCGAACATGTAGATGTGTTGAATGACTAGTTTTAATTCTTGTTTTGGACCTGCGAGCCATTTATTAATTTTGGGCTTGTGAGCTCATTATTAATTTTGGACATGTAAGTCCGTTATTATTATGGGCCTTTGTCCAATTCTTTTAGGTACGCGTGCCAATTAGTATAGAATACAAGTTACAATTGGACTAATTGAAGATATAAGAACAAGTAGAGACCATAGTGATGAAGCAATGTATGATTCAATGACATGCCCCCAGGAATGACCAACTAGTCTTCCTTTTGGCTCGAGAAGACTAGTTAGTAAAAATCCATAAGCGTCCACATTATTATGTTTGTTTATTTGCATATTGGGAGTGTGTATATATGTGTGTGTGTGTGTGTATATATATATATATAGAGAGAGAGAGAGCGCCCCTTATTGAGTACACCCAAGGCGTCACATTAGGGATATTTTGAAACTATGAAATATTAGATAATTTTGAATGATAAGTTTTGACTTAACTAAAGTTTTATCTTTTGTTAGGTATACTCGAGATAAATTCTAGAGATATATTAAGTTAAAACATAAGATGTGAAGACATTGTCACTTAATGATCTAAAAGTTGTATGGAGATACAATTGATAATAGAATCTAATTAAATAATTAATTAAAGCTTGTTGAGTACACTTAATGTTTTAATACTACAAATGGGGTCCTAGGCCACTAGGAATCAAGTACGGTTTCTATAAAGTTATGTAAGAGAGTCATAAATTTAAGTTAAATAGTAAGAGCATAATTAGTTTAATAAAAGATCATGTTAAATTAATTGAAATATTTTTCACGTATATTAATTTATTTTTTGTCATTTATAGTTTTGAATTATGAGTAACCATTACGTTGGATTTTATGCAACATAAGAATTTTACGTGGTTCGGCAATGTGCCTACGTCCACGAGAGCGAAGCGGAGATTTCTTTATTCAGTTATGAAAAAAGGGTTACAACATATTATTTATACTAACCCTAGCCTGGGCCCATATAAGGCTTTAAAGCCCGTACAGAAAATACCTCTGTATCGTACCGCCCATTCAGCGTCCCTAACAACCAGATAGTGAATTAGACTCACGCAAGGCCGATGCCGTCGCTCCGTTCAATGCACTCCGCGCCAGCATCGGCCCTTTGATCCAAGGCCTGTGTTCCACTCTATATGAGCCACATGTACAACAATCTCCACCTTGGCGAATATTCACCCCTTAGGAGAAAAAACATAACTTGAAAAAAATCACACCATTTAGGATCAATGGGTTGAGACACATCCTCTCTAACAGCTAGAGATGTTAATCAAGTTCAAGCAATGCTTGAACCTATCCATTGTGATCGGCTTTATCATCATGACTGCTGCGTTCCTAAGGTATGCACTTTTTCTAACAACAGCTCTCCTGAAGTAACCAATTCTCTTATCTTATGAAATCTCACATCAATGTGCTTGGTTCTTGCATGATAAATCTGATTCTTAGCTAAGCAGATCGCGCTCTGACTATCACAGTACAGTTTCATTCTATCTTGCTTGATCCCAAGTTCCGTGACAAGCCCTTTCAACCACAATAATTCCTTGACTGCCTCAGTTGCCGCCATATACTCTACTTCAGTTGTAGATAATGCCACAAGTGATTGCACCATTGACCTCCAACATATGGGCCCACCTGCGAGTGTGAAAACATAACCTGTATGGGACCTTCTGTCATCCAAATCCCCTGCATAATTTGCATCTACATATCCTTGAACTGAAATATCACCATGTTGTCTCTCAAACATGATCCCGCACTCCATTGTACCTTTCAAGTACCTGAAAATCCACTTTACAGCTCTCCAATGCTCTCTACCAGGATTAGCCATATACTTACTAACCACGCTGACTGCATGTGCTAAATCTGATCTAGTACACACCATTGCATACATTAAACATCCAACTGCGCTGGCATAAGGTACCTTTGACATCTCTGCAACATCTTCTTCACTCTTTGGACACTGATTATTAGACAATTTGAAGTGATTTGCAAGTGGTGTGGCAACTGATTTTGCATATGACATGCTAAACCTCTCTAACACTTTCTTCAAATAATTTTTCTGAGACACCCATAATTTTCTAGCTTTCCTATCTCTGTTGATCTCCATGCCAAGAATTTTCTTAGCCGGTCCCAAGTCTTTCATATCAAACTTATTGTTCAACAAAGATTTCAATTTGCCTACCTTATCCATGTTCTTAACAGCAATTAACATGTCGTCCACATACAACATCAAGAAAATATATGAGTTGTCCTCAAGAACTCTGTAGTAGACGCAACAAT